GCCCAGGCTGTCCTGGAACTCACAGAGATCCGCCTGCCTCTGCCTCCTGAGTGCTGGGATTAAAGGCGTGTGCCACCGCCGCCCAGTTCATTATCTGTTTTCAGTTCTGCCCTTCCTCCTCTTCTCCCAGCTATAACCTTCTGAAAAGACTAGCAGGATATCTTCAGCACGGCACAAAGCTTTCCCCACAGTGAGAGTTCAAGAAATCTGTTAATTCATTAATTAAAGATGTTGCATGCTCCAAACTGTGAAGTCGATGCTAGGATTTAGCCACAATGGAGGAAGGTGGGCTCCACCTCTCTGAGGACTGGAGTGATGAATGAGTTCACTCAACGTCCTGCAACATTCCTTTTTTAAACACACTTCAGCTTTGCGCGGCCTTTTCCCCCATTAGTCAGTGCTTGCGCTGTCATCTCTTCCTTGACACACCCAACCACTGCCAGTGACAATGTTAATTAGGACCAGCCGCCGCCGCCGCCTCCGCCGCCTCCGGGAATGCTGGGAGTCTCATCTCTGCCTTCCAGAGGCGCAGTCTGGTCGGAGACTACAGGACCAACACATGGAACAATTAGGCAGCAATATGGAAACATAATTAAGTGCTAATTGTTTGGGAAAGGCTGCGTGTTTTCAAAGGGGGATAATGAAGTCAGCCATTTAATTAGTGCATAATTTATAAGGCATGCTGTGCACACCATCCCTGAATTTAGCACAGGGGTAAAATAACTTTGGGCTCAGAAAACAAGGCTTTGTTTCCTATCCCAGTAAAATACTCAGATTTGTGGGAAAACGGATCCATTCACCTGCTTGAAAGTAAAATCGGTTGTCCCTCGGCAGTGTGCACGGAACAGAGAATGCTGCCCTACGTGAGATTTCTGGAGTCCCTTCTACAGAACACAGAGTTCGCTGAAAATGTGTATATGTGTATTTATTTATCTGCAAGGAAAATAGTTGGAGAACGTTTTGGAAAAGGCGGCTTGGCCCTTCATGGTACCAAAGTCCTCCGTGTTCTAAGAAAGTTTTATCAAAGGCGGTCAGAAAATAAATAGCAACTGAGTCCAGCAAGATGGTTCAGCAGGTAAAGGTGTTTGCTGCCAATCCTGACGACCCGGGTTCAATCCCTGGGGCCCTCAGAGATAACTGACTCCTCCTACAAGTTGTTCTCTGGCTTACACACACACACACACACACACACAGAGAGAGAGAGAGAGAGAGAGAGAGAGAGAGAGAGAGAGAGAGAGAGAGAGCAAATAAATAAATAATGTAAAAATAGTCAAAGAAAACAGCAATCATTGGGGCTGGGAAGGTAGCCACAGTAGAACGTTTGTGTAGCAACAGTGCAAGGCCTGGGCTGGCTGAAAACAGGAAGACAGAGAGAGGGAGGAGGGAAGGAGTGTGGGAGGAAAGAAGAGAGGGAGGGAGAGAGGGAGAAAAATGGGACTGGAAGACAGCCGTAGGCAGGTACTTGCGTTTTTTTTATCAGTGGTTCTGAATCTGTGCGTCGTGGCCCCGTGGAGTGTCACATATCAGAGATCCAGTAAAATTAGTTATGAAGTAGCAACAAAACAATTTTATGGATGGGGGTCACCACAATATGAAGAACTGTATTAAAGCGCTGAAGCATTAGAAGGATTGAAAACCAGTCTTATATGAGCATATTTTCCCTTTGAATATTCCTTTCCCAAATCCTTCTCTGCTCCAATCCATCAGAATCCAATAAGCCTTGACTACGGCTTTGGCAGTACCATGAAGGTACTGCCTCTCTCCACATCCACTGCTGAGGTTCAAGTTCTTCTGGTGGCATGGGGAAACTGAAGCAAAGCAGGAATAGCAGGTGTTAGCTCTTGGGGGTGTTGGCAGCCAATCCATGTCTGCTGTGGGACAATCTTCTTGTACACTGGAAAGATCTGTCACTCAAATTGGTTTCATAAAATGCTGATTGGCCAGTAGCTAGGCAGGAAGTATAGGCGGGGCGACCAGACTAAGGATGATGGGAAGGAGAAGAGAGGAGTCAGAGGACCTGCCAGCCAGCTAGCCACTGAGCAAGCAGGACCTGTAGACAATGAGGTAACAAGGCACGAGCCACATGGCAAAGCATAGATAGAAATATGGGTTAATTTAAGTGTAAGAGTTAGGTAGTAATAAGCCTGAGCTATTGGCCGAGAATGTATAAGTAATGGAAGCCTCAGTGTGCTTATTGGGGAGCTACTGATGAGACAGAAACTTCCGCTTCCACGTGTCCTTGAAAGCCTTCTTGACTGGTGTATCTGGAGACTTGCTCTAACCGTATTTACAGCTGAATGAATCTTCCTCACCCTTTCTCCCTTTACGAGCCTCCCATCTAGAAAGGTTCGACATGGGCAGACTACCCCTGCACAGTAACAGAGGATGGGAGCCAGCCGTCGATCGTATTAGTTACTGTGATGTTGCTGTGGCCCGGGCTGACAAAAAACAACCTAAGCAAAGAAAACATTTTAGTTCAGGATTTCCAAGAGATTTCGGTCCATCAGGGCAGGTGATGGGAGGGGGAGGGAGCTCCGTTAGTCAGGGCAGTGTTATGCCCCCCCCCAACACACACACACACACACACACACACACACACACACACACACACACAGCAGGAGCTTCACCAATAGCTGTTTACACACAGTGGCAAGATGGAAACCAGGGAAAGCAGGAGGGCGTGGGGTGTCAGCTCTAAGGCTCTCCAGCCTCCACCATAGAGTGACAAGCTAGGGACCAAACATTAAAAGCACGAGTTACACTCAAACCATAGCACAGATTCGTTGCATTTGTTAGACCTCAGGCAACAACATTGGGAAAAATCCGGAGTGACTTTACGGACATAAAGGTCTCTGCTAAATGGTGCTAAAGACCTCTGTAAAGACCCTCCCTGCACAAGGACTGATTGTCCCGCCCAGCTCGTGTTATTTGTGAACAGAACTGCTGAGAAAGGACTCAACAGAGCAAACCATGATCCCTACGGAAAGTGCCCTTTGGACTCGGAGATTTGGTATTTGCACTGTTTAATTGAGAGGGTCTCAGTAGGCCAGCCCCGGTTCAACACTTGACATTAATGCCCTAGAAGGTTCTAGAAAGGTCAGAGGTGGCGAGCCCGAGATTGTTTTCAATCCAGCAGGCTCTGAAGAGACGATTGAGCTGTGGGTACGGCCCATGGTCTTGCATGTGCCTCAAAGAGCATGCGCGTGCCGTTTGCTAGCGCTGATGACGGAGCTATCGAAGAAAGAAGCCCGCTTTGATGTTTTTCCTCCTCCCTTAGATCAACACTTTTTTTCTTTACTTCTGATAAAATAATGACGCTAATGCTTTCCATATGTGTCAGCTCTGGAGAGAGAAATTAGTATTCAGAGGCAGATTCAACTCTGAGGAATTAGCAAGTGTGAGCTTGTCGTAGTGCGGTAGGATGTAGGAGTGTTAGTCTCGGCAAACCTTTCAGCCTCCTGGGTGGAGTTCGGCGGCCTGGGCTCTGAAAGAAAGCTCTCAGCCTGATTTAGGAGGAATTTTTGGTTTTTGTTTGTTTCTTCTGTTTTGTTTTGAAGACAGAGTTTCTCTGTAGCTTTTGAGCCTGTCCTGGAACTCGCTCTGTAGACCAGGCTGGCCTCGAACTCACCTGCCTCTGCCTCCCCACTGCTGGGATTAAAGTCATGCGCCACCACCTTTAGGAGGAAATTTTATAGGTGACTCAGCTTCGAACAGCTCATCTGACGAGAAAGGCACTTTCTCACTTTGCTAAGTCAGTGGGCACGGACATTCATGGGCAATTCAAGTTGAAAGGGGCTACAGAGATTCCCCCTCCTGTGATCCCCGGATGACAGATGAGAGGCATGTAATTCACAGAGCAGCACCAGCTCTGGGGCCCGCTCGACCCGGGGTGGCTGGCGCCGAGGGCAGCGAGGAGTTACACACACCAGCTAAGAGTATGCCACCTGCCATTTTCAAGCATCCTTCCCTAGCCTCCACAAATCAAGATGTTTCTAAATCAGAAAAATGAAGATTGAAAAGTGCAGGGTGGGAAGCAGTTGTCCTAAAGCATTCATTATAATCACACCATGATGTTTTGCAAAGATTTGAAATCATGTCTTTCAGTATCTCCAACAATGACCTGCTCAATAACTTTTTTTTTTTTATTATCAGCTTGATACAGTACAAATTCTTATCCTAATAGTGAAATGTTTCACTGAGGCTTGCCCAGTAATTGAGTAAAACCAAAACTTATAAGCCACAATCATCCTAGGGTCCCCCCTGCTATATAGCCACCATGATTCTGTGGGTTGCAGTCTGATTGTCCTTTGCTTTATATCTAGAATCCACTTATGAGTGAGTACACACCATGTTTGTCCTTCTGAGTCTGGGTTACCTCACTCAGGATGATGTTTTCTAGTTCCATCCATTTGCCTGCAAATTTCATGCTGTCATTGTTTTTCTCTGCTGAGTAGTACTCCATTGTGTAAATGTATCACATTTTCTTAATCCATCCTTCAGTTGACGGGCATCTAGATTGTTTCCAGGTTCTGGCTAATATGAATAGTGCTGCTATGAACATAGTTGAGCATGTATCTTTGTGGTATGATTGAGCATTCCTTGGTTATACACCCAAGAGTGGTATGGCTGGGTCTTGAGGTAGATCGATTCCCAATTTTCTGAGAAACCTCCATACTGATTTCCACAGTGGTTGTACAAGCTTACATTCCCACCAACAGTGGAGGAGTGTTCCCCTTGTCCACATCCTCTCCAACATAAACTGTCATTAGTGTTTTTGATCATAGCCATTCTGACAGGTGTAAGGTGGTATCTCAGAGTCATTTTGATTTGCATTTCTCTGATGACCAAGGATGTTGAGCATTTCTTTAAATGTCTTTCAGCCATTTGTGTTCTTGTTTTGTGAATTCTCTGTTTAGCTCTTTAGCCCATTTTTTAAAATTGGATTGTTCAGTATTTTTGTGTCTAGTTTCTTGAGTTCTTTATATACTTTGGAGATCAGTCCTCTGTCAGATGTGGGGTTGATGAAGGTATAAATCATGATTATATCATCACATCTAAGGATGTTAATAATAATTTCATAGCCTCATCTAATCCCCAGTCATAATGAACCTTTTCTCATTTGTTCTAATGCAGTATAGTTTTTTTAGCACTAGTAATTGAACAGAAGACCTCACGCATTCTGTAGGCTGTCTTTTTGTCTCATTGACTGTCTCTTTTGCCCTTTAAAAGCGTCTCAGTTTCAAGAGATCCCATTTATTAATTGTTGTGCTCAGTGTCTGTGCCGCTGGTGTTATATTTAGGAAGTGATCTCCTGTGCCAATGCATCAATAACATTTTTATACCACAAAGAATACCACACAAGCCAGGCAGTGGTGGCACATGCCTTTAATCCCAGCACTCAGCAGGCAGAGGCAGGCAGATCTCTGTGAGTTCGAGGCCAGCCTTGTCTACAGAGTGAGATCCAAGACAGGCACCAAAACTACACAGAGAAACCCTGTCTCGAAAAACTAACAAACAAACAGAACACCACACAAATCACTATCATATACCAGTTATTTTTTCCATTGGGGGGTGGATTTTGCATGCGCCCAAACATGTTGGGGGAGTGCATTTTTGTGTGTGCCTGCACATGTGTGTATGTGGTCATCAGAGGTCAACTTGGGTGAAGTTTTTCATGAACTCTGCACCTTGAGAGAGGGTCTCTAGATGGCTTGGAACTTGCCGAATAGACCAGACTGTATGGCCAGTGTGGTGGTTTGAATAGGTATGGCCCCCATAGACTCACATGTTTGAATGCCCACAGGGAATGGCACTATTAGGAGGTGTGTCCTTGTAGGAAGAAGTGGGTCCCTGTGGAGGTCGGCTCTGAGGTCTTACATGCTCAAGCTACACCCCATGTGATACAAAGTTGCTTCTGCTGCCTGCAGATCATGATGGAGAACTCTCAGCTCCTTCTCCAGCACCATGTCTGCCACTCTATCCTACCACGATGATAATGGACTAAACTTCTGAAACTGTAAGCCAGCCCCAATGAAATGTTTTCCTTTTGAGAGTTGCTGTGGTCATGGTGCCTCTTAACCATGACTAAGACATCCCGTAAGCCACAGGGAGTCCCTGCTTGACCAATCTAATAATGGCTGCATTTGTTTGAATATGTACACTTGATTAACTCTCAATGCTGTTGTTTCTTCACTACTTGGGAGTAAATTACAGCTATCATGAAATTTCACACTCCTGTGTGCATCTCCCAAATTCAGGAACATGATGTATAAATCATGATTATATCATCACATCTAAGGATGTTAATAATAATTTCATAGCCTCATCTAATCCCCAGTCATAA